AGACCTCACCCAGCCGGCCTACCTCATGCCCCCCGGCCAGGGTCATCTTCACTCGTCGTCGGGATTGCATCTGCTTTATCCCTCCGACCAGCCTGGCGCGACAAGCAGCCTTTCGCTGGAACCATTTCGCGGTTATCCCAACAGCGGAGCATTTTATGCCGGACAGTCGAGTCTGTCGGCCGGCGGATTCGCCCAATCGCCGCCCATTGCCCCCGAGGCCTCCGACTCCGGGTCCGGCAGCAGCGGATGCGGCAGCAGTTCGAGTTGCGCCTCTCGTCACTCCCGACTCGAGCGAGCCCGACCGCCTTCCGCGCAACTGACACTGGCCGACCAGTCGCATCTTCGTCTGCCTCCACATTCACACCAGCCAACTGGCCATCCTCAGCAGCCGCAACAACAACAACAACAACAGCATCAACATCATGTACAGCAGATGCATCGGGCACAGGTCTTCTCTGGCACCTCCACGGTGCCAGGACAACTGCAGCCGCCCTATCCGGTCTCGCAGCCGCCTCCGGCCGCTTACCAGACGACCGCACATGCCCGGCCGCCGGCACTCCCCTCCGGATTCGCGCCCATGGGCTCATCTTCCTGCTCGGTCGCATCTCCCGCCGTCGCCACCGCTGCTCCCTCTCATGTCCACATGAACCAGTTGTCCGTGGTCGCCTCGACCTCGGCCTACGCCTCACACACGAACGTCTCGCCGAACAAAAACTTGACTTCGTCGGCCGGCATGCAGATGATGCCACATTCTGGCTTCTCAGGCTACAGAAAAAGTGAGTCCTGCATTCTGGCTTCCTCTCTCTCCCCATTTGGTAGCTTTACCGCGAGGGCTTTGCCCTCACCTCACGACCTTGCTCATCTCTCTCTCTCTCTCTCTCTCTCTCTCGTCTTGTTGCTGTACCCTCCAGTTGGTTCTATACGATCAGCAAGTATAACGCTAAAAATAGAATCTTCCTCTTTGTTCCTCTTTTATGCTTTTTGTGATTACATGCATGTATGTAGACACAATCGTATTCGACGAAAAACGGAATTTCGAGGAATTTTCGCATTTCATACTTGTTGTTTTTAAGTTTTAATTTCCTATGGCTTAGCTTAGTCTATATAAAGGTAAGAAAAAGCGGGATAGCCTTCTTGGCCTAGTGTTAAGATTTGACTTTTACAAGAATGACACCCAGCTCGGACGATGTCCATCATTTGATGGACGAAAGCTCAGCACGTTTTCACCCGAAACGAGGGAGGAAGTCCCATGGACTGCGTCAACATGAATTTCGTATAATAACCGAACTGCAGTATAACGAGATTAATCTGTCCTCATCCGGTGAGATCGACCAACGAATCTCTTCTTCATGCACTTTCATGCGAAATGAAGGTCCCTCTAACATTGTTGAGCTTACTTCCCTTTCGAGGGAAAGTATTTGGTGAAGAGATTCAAAGAAAAACGGCGACGGACTCATTTCGGCCAGCAGTTGATTGGCTCTTCTGCAACATTCTTGTTGGCGCCATTGTCGAGACAATCTTCTTGGCTTATCGTGAAAAAACATGCCAAGCCATCGTCCGTCGTATGACCGTCATCATCCGAGGCGGTTTCATCTTGACAACTATATTCATTCTCGAAACTCTACTTAAATACGAAAAATGACTATATTCAAGCCAACGAGTCAAGAATAAATGAAAATAATCGGTACAGTGATGCCTGTTGGACGATCGCCAAATGCAATATTCATGTTAATGTCTCGCTTTCTGCTTTTTGCTTGTTTCTTTTGACTTTTTCATTTTGCTCTCATGTCAATTAAGTTAGTCCGCATGTATCGCCAATACACCCACTTGACTCTGTCAATAAACCAATTCTGCAGAAAGTACTAATTTGTCAGAGAAAGACAGACAAACATAAAGACAGACAGATAGACAAAACGGCAGAGAGGAGAGGAAAAATATGTTTTATTTGCTGGTACACTCTTGAGCTACTCCTGTTGACCGTATGGCC